TCTCTCTCTGACCCTCCCCTGTTCATGCTCTGTCCCTCTCTGTCTCATAAATAAACATTAAAAAAAGAAAACAAAAACAATGTATTCAAGAATTTCAAAAATTCAACAGCAAAACAACTCAGTTACAAACAGGCAATGTCATTAGACATTTCTCCAGAGAAGATATAGGAATGACTAATTCGCTCATGAAAGATGCGCAACATAAATAATCATTAGGGAAGTGCAAACCAAAACCATAATGCATAGATACCAACTCACAGACACTAGTATGGCTATTGTAAAAATTAAATCAGAAAATAAGTGTTGGTGAGATTGTGGAGAAATTGGAGACTAAAAAGGGGCTAGTTCCTCAGAAATGTAAACCTGGAATTATCATTTGATCCAGTAGATTCACTTCTGGTTATGTACCCACTTATATGCCCCAAAAGACTAAAGCAGTGACTAGAAACGATTTTTTGTACAACACTTTTCATAACAGATTTATTCACAGTACCCAAAAGGTGGAGACAACCCAAATGTCCATCAACAAACTCACAGATGAACAAAATGTAGTGAAAACATACAGTGGAATATCATTCAGGCTTTAATATGAATAGAATTCTGGCATAGGCTACAACATGGGTGAAACAAACATTATGCTAAGTGAAAGGAAGGATATAAAAGGATCCATATTAAACAATAACATCTACATAAAGAACCTTTAGTTTTCAGTTTTAGAGAAAGAGGTAGCATGGTGGGAGACAGGGACTGGAAAAAGGGGCAATGGGGAGTTAGTATTTCAAGTGGACAAAGATTCAGTTTGAGATGATGAGAAAATTCTGGAGATGGATCGAGGTGGTGATTGCACAACAGTGAAAAAGTACTTAAGGCCACTTAAGTGTATTTCAAAATGTTTAAAATAATAAATTTTATATATTTTTTACCCTGACAAAAAAGGAACTAAAAGAGTGACATATTCTAAAAGAATTTCAGTGCCATAAAGAGCTTGATGATGTAGAGGAAGGAATCCAAAGTACAAGGAGACAAGAGTGTTGTGATGGGTTTATCTTGTGTGATTCTACCCTATGAGACCCCAACATTCCCCTCAACCACAAAGTACACCCAAAATAAGAGTTTGGAGAATATAAAATTCATAAAGCATTGAGAAACACCTTGGCGAGGGATGTAATGTCTTCCTTGGCAAGCTCTACAGAGCTTCTCCCCAATATGACAGACTTACCATGGACATGCTGAAATTGAAATGCCTTTGTCCTGAGTTCAGCCCCTGCCCCCTCCACTGAATTGCCAGAGGCCATGTCAACAGTCTGAAACCACCCAGGGTATAGCATTATAGTGCATATAAGAGTTAATCATTCTCATCAACATTGGTTGAGCCACAGAGATTTCTGGAACTGGCATTTTCATCAAGGTGTCTCCATGAAACAAAATGATGGGCGGCTTACTAAGGGTTCATCCAAGTTGTGTAGCTATGAAAAACAAGGAAAACAAAAACAACAACCAAAACACCTACCTCTAATAATCATGAAGAAAAGATTGACCTGAGTCACCACAATGAAGGGTCATAATCTCTACTTGCCTCTCAGACCTGAGACTGTTCACTGACTCAGATCCTCGGCTGATGGAACCAATTACCCCTGAGTGAAGAATGTAAAATAGCAACAAATGCTTTACATTTTCCACCAAACCCAACCCAAAGACTCTAAGGTAATGGTGGTAGCCAACTTATAATGGTTCATGGGGACTATGGTCTGAACCAAAATTGGTAGCTTGATATTGGGCAAGATGAGAGTAATTTCACCATGGAAACTGGCAAATGCTATAAGTAAGCTCTCTTCTTTATTCTATTTTTCTCATTTTCTTTCTTTCTTCTTGCTTTCCCTGTTTCTTCTTCTCTTTGCTTTTGAGTGAGAGTCCCTTAAACATTTCTCTGAATATTAGTCCTTAAAGGGACCTGTGGACTTTTACCTGGAAAACTGTGAATCAGGTAATAGGAAATTACCATTATGGCCAACCATCAAACTGGTGGCTTCTGGGGTAAGGTGATAAGGAGACTTTCACTTGCTCTGCCTCATAAAGCACAGGCTAGAACCATAAGTATATCCTGCTATCAATGCCTAAATTCTGGGATGCATCATTAGAAAACACAGAGGTAAGGGCACCTGAGTATTTCAGTTGGTTAAGCATCCGGTTCAGCTCAGGTCATGATCCCGCGCTTTGTGGGTTCGAGCCCCGCGTCGGGCTCTGTGCTGACAGCTCAGAGCCTGGAGCCTGCTTCAGATTCTGTGCTTCCCTCTCTCTCTGCCCATCCCTCTGCCCCAACCCCCATGCTCTGTCTGTCTGAAAAATAAATAAAAACATTTAAAAAAAATTTTAAAGAAAAGACAGAGGTGGCAATAGGCAGACTATCCATATTGTTGTTGGGATCTGTTAAGGGCTTATCATAGTTTGGAGGTGCTGAGGGAAATCAGAAGATTGGGTTGCTACCTACCAAAGTATTAAAAGAAAAGTAATAGTACATGCCTGGGATAAGCACACACAATGACACCATCAATGCCTGAAAAATCAGGAGCTGTCATTTCTATTAACTTCACACGTAATTAATGTTTTGAAGTGTGCAAGGGGAAACTAGATATTGCATAGTGAATGTGGATTACTGTAAATGAATCACACAGGATTCCAGGGGCCTCTGCTCTTGCTGATGTGAGCTCTTTCCAAGGTGGATTGACAGAAACCCCAGGAACCTGGTATATAACCTCTGATATGTTCAATGATTTTACTGCCAAAGCAGATACTCTACTAGACACCTGCTTTCATCTCAGAGAGGGAGGATTCCACATTTACTCCACTGGCTTCTCCTATCACATCATAAGTACTCAATTTCCTATAGCCTTTATTTGTTGCTGAAAATCCATGCGATGGAATTTAATGAGAAGTCTAAACCATTTAAAAGAAATACAGAAGAGGAGCACCTGGGTGGCTCAGGAACTAACCATCAACTTTTGATATCAGCTCAACTTATGATATGAACTCATCAGTTGTGAGATCACAGCCCACATCAGACTCTGCACCGATTGCAAGGAGCCTGTTTAGGATTCTCCCTCTCCCTCTCTCTGCCCCTCCCTGCTCTCTCTCTCTCTGAAAATAAATAAACTTCACAAGAAAAGAGATACAGAAGAAATGGTGGCTCATAATGAATGAAAAACACAAACCAACCCAAACTGTAGAAAGACAAAATGCAGATTGTCAGCCTATGAACTGACACAAATATCATGATCTAGGTTTTCTAGGATCTTGAGCCCTGTTACTCAAGTCTTTATCCTGAAACAAAGAATCCTATATGCAGAGAATGTCTCTCAGCTAAAGAGCCTTCTCAGAGCTTGCTTGATGTCTCTGTTCCTCAGACCATAGATGAAGGGGTTCAGCATGGGCGTCACCACTGTGAACATCACTGAGGCTATGGCACTTGCTCTGGAGTTTTGTGAAGCAGCAAAACTAAGATAAACCCCAAGGCTTGTACCGTAGAACAAAGAGACCACTGCAAGATGAGACCCACATGTGGAAAATGCTTTATACTTGCCCATCGCTGATGAAATCCTCAAAATGGAAGTGACAATTCTAGAGTAAGAGAACAGGATACCAGTGAGTGGAACAACACCCAGAAGTCCACTTAGAGATAGATCATCAGGTCATTGAGGAAGGTATCAGAGCAAGCAAGTTGGATCACCTGATTAAGTTCACAGAAAAAGTGAAGGATTTCCAGATCTGTGCAAAAAGAGAGTCGCAAAATCATCAAGCCATGTAATAGAGAGGTAAGAACACTCAACATCCAGGCAACCAGAAGCAGGATGCTGCAGAATTTGGGGTTCATGATGACCATGTAGTGCAGTGGCTGACAGATGGCCACGAACCGGTCATAGGCCATTACAGTCAAGAGGAAGTTGTCTAATACTCCAAAAAGCATGAAAAAGTACATCTGGCTGAGGCACCCTTCGTAGGTCATCACTTTGCTCTGCATCTGGATGTTCAGCAGCATCTTTGGGATGGTGGTGGAGGTGAAACAGATGTCTGAAAAGGACAGGTTGGAGAGGAAGAAGTACATGGGCGTGTGGAGGTGGGAGTCTGTGATAATGGCCAGGATCATGAGCAGGTTCCCAGTGAAGGTGACCAGGTACATGGACAGGAATGGCCAAAAGAGCAGTGACTGCAGCCCCTCCTCATCTGAGAGTCCCAAGAGGATAAATTCTGTCACACGGGTTTGATTTCTTCCTTCCATGTGTCTGGTGAAAACAGCTAGAACAGAGACAAGAGCGTTGTAAAGGCACAGGCAGTGATCACAGAATTGAAAGAAATGCTGCAATTTGTGTTTTCAACGTGTTTCATTAGTTAATTCTTAAACATTACCTACGATCTAGATAATTTAGCAGAAAATTTCAGGGAATCCCAATGTTCCATGTTTTCCATGAGGCTGAAACTGATTCACAATCCTTGTCCTGAATCAAAACATTTATCCAAAGCAATGTTCTCCTCCATAAATTTCCTGAGACTTTTTTTGTTCACCCAACAAATATTTTAACCTGTTATTTTGTTGGCAAGATTTGTTGAAAGCACTGAAAAAATTAGTGATGTGCATTTGACCTTAACAAGACTGAGTTTAAGATGTGTGTGTGTCAGAGGCAGCGAATATTACTAAATGAAGAATGATGTTTCAAGTGGCGGTTACAACCAATAAGTAAAACAATGCCACACTGGGAATCCTAAGTGAAGGGGAAACTTGCCATTGTATCATCTCTGATGAGGGGCTTCAAAGCTGAAAAACTGAGGGCAGTGGATATATGAACCATGCAGATAACTTTGAGGAAACCAATTAAGGCAGAGAAAAAGCCTGTGCAAGGACCCTAAGGCAAGACCCAAACCCATCAGGCAACATCAAAGAGAAAGCTGTGAGCAGAGCAGGTAACACTACAGGATCAGGTGTGGGGTGTAAGATAAGAAAGAGAGGAACTCAAAGCCTCCTGCATCTGTGGAAACGTTCTAAGGGAGTGGACACTACAGTCCATTGTTGTTTTTATACCTATATGTTATATATGATGTCTGTCTACCACGGAATAAATTTTATGTAATGTGTACAGATACAGCATAACTGATTCCTGATTCCTCCATAATTCTATCACATTCTCTCACTCTTACTGTCAGTCTTCAGTTGGTCTAAATTATGCATTTTTTTATTTCATAAAACAGTTTCAGCTTGCTTCAAATGTTTTTCATGTGTGTATATTCACGGATAATGTCTCTATTCCCTACACACACACACACACACACACACACACACACAGTGCAGGTAGGAAGAGAGGCAGAGAGAGAGTTTTCCATCATTGTGGTACTGTGTACTCTTGTGGCTGAAGCACAGCTGTTTTAGAAAGCAGGGGACAGGATACACCATGAGTCAAGAGCTTATTTTTCCTAAGAGAATTGCATTTTGCAACGTAGGTGTGCCAGTTGAGTCATCATGGCTTAGAATCACAAAAACCACACAGAAATAGAAGAATTAACACCAAACTTTCTCAAACTATTACAAAAATTCAAAGGTTAAAACGTCCTACTTTATTCCAAGAGGCCAACATTGCGCTAACACTGACCAAATAAAGACATTGCAAGAAAAGAAAAGTACAGAACAATATTCCCAACAAATACTGATGTGACAATCTTTTACTAAATACTACCAAACAGAACATAGCAGCCTTTTGTTCGTGGTGTAGAAAAGGATAATGCATCATGACCAAGTGGGATTTATTCCTGGAAGGCAAGGATGGTTTTACTTATGAAAATCCGTCAGTGTGGTACACCACATTAACAGAATGAAGGATAAAAGTGCATGCTTATGTCCACTGATGCAGAAAAATAGACAAAATTGGACCTTCTTTCATAATAACAACCTTCAAGAAGCTAAGAACAAAAGGAAACTTCTTCAACATGATATAGATCATATGTGAAAGCCCACTTCTAACATCATTCTCAATAGTGAAAGGCTAAGAGTGACCTCTAAGATAAAAACAAGACAAGCATGTCTGCCTTATACCTTCTATGTAACATGGCATTGAAAGTTCCAGACAGAGCAATTAGCTGAGAGAGAGAGAGAGACAGAGAGAGAGAGAGAGAAGAGACAGAGAGAGAGAGAGAGAGGGAGAGAGAGAGAGAGAACCAAGAAAGCAAGAAAGCAAGAAAGCAAGAAAGAAAGAAAGAAAGAAAAAGGAAGGAAGGAAGGAAGGAAGGAAGGAGAAGGAGAAGAAGAAGAGAGAGAAAGAAAGAAAGAAAGAAAGAAAGAGTGGAGGAGGGATGAGAGACAAAATGAAATAAAAGTCATTAAAATTAGAAAGGAAGAATAATATGATTTCTGTTCACAAAGGTGATCATATATATTTATATTTTTATTATTTATTTATTTTTGAGAGAGAGTGCATGCAGAGGAGGGAAGGGGGAAGGGGGAAGGAGGAGCACACAGAGAGAGAGACAGAGACAGAGACAGAGACAGAGACAGAGCATCTGAAGCAATCTGTGAAGCGACAACGGAGAACAACATACAGGATTAAACTCATGAACCAGGAGATCATCACCTGAGCCTGTGTCAGATGCCTAACCAATTGAGCCACCCAGGCATCCCACAAAGGTGATCTTATTTAAAAAGAAATAAGATATCAGGGCACCTACGTGGCTCAACTGGTAGCCAGTTAAGCATGGTTCTTGGTTACAGCTACGTCAAGATCTTATGGTTAGTGAGATTGAACCCCATGTCCCACTACCCTGACAGCACAAAGCCTGCCTGGGATTTTCTCTCTCTACCACTCCCGGCCCTTTCCCCACTTGTGCACTCTCTCTTTCTCTCCTTCTCTATCAAGATATAGATAGATAGATAGATAGATAGACAGACAGTAGTAGATAGATAGATAGATAAATGTAAAAATAAACTAATAGGATATCAGTAAAAACAAATAAACCTGTTAGGCTAATACACATATTCAGCAAAGTTGCAGAATACAAATCAGCACACACACACAATTTACATGGCAGAGCGAATCCCAGCATGGAATGCACCATGTGAAAAAAACAAAAAAAACTAACTGTATTACAATTGTACGAGACAATCTCAGTGAAGCAGGTAGGCAAAAAAAAAAGTGCAGAAATATGTGATTTGGAATATGAGTGGATTCTGAAATTTGGAGATGAAAGAAATTGCACAGAAGCACTGCTCCATACTTAATAAAATGTATCCCAGAGGGTATTGTTAACAATACTGATACTTCTGCGCATGTGCACTGTAATTGAACATAGAAGGAAACAGAGAGCAAATGGTGGGAATAAGGTAATCACATTTGTTGTGGGACTTTACACGGAAGCAAGAGGCTAGTATGATCCTTGTGCTAATAGAGTTGATGTCATCAGCATGAACTTGCTTCTATCTTAACATAGATACAGAGGCTTACATATAGATACATCTATGGATGGCTGCATATACACAGAGTAGTAAACATTTATATGTTTCCCTGCTGGGTCAGGTCAGGGGATATAGAGAACCTGGTAGCAGCAAGCACACCTGGCACCCATGTCTTGGTTTTAACCCCATGTCCCAATAAAATGAAACCGGGCTCCTTGCAGAAATGACTGCTTCTAGGGCTCAGGAGGGAAACACAAGAAGCTGAAGCATCATCTTCTGTAAGAGAGTAATGAAATACTACACTCCCTTTAAAAATCCAGGAATCATGGGGGCACCTGGGTGGCTCAGTTGGTGGAGCGTCAGACCTCGGCTCAGGGCAAGATGTCACAGTTCGTGGTCCGAGCCCCGCATCAGGCTCTGTGCTGACCGTTTGCTCGGAGCTTGGAACCTGCTTCAGATTCTGTGTCTCCTTCTCTCTCTGCCACTCCCCGCTCATGTTTTGTCTCATTCTGTCTCTCAAAAATAAATAAATGTTAAAAAAAATTGTTTTAAGCTAGGAATGATAAGGACATGCTAGAGAGACATATCAGCTCACGGAAGGAGCCCCCCATTGCCAAAGCTGGACCAATTTGAGCAACAAAATAAAGTAGTATTGGGCTATGACCCAGAGTATATACTACATATCAAAGAGTGCACACCAAAATAAATAATTAAGGAATAAAGAGAAGAAACGATCTCAAGTGCAGAAGAATGACAATGATTTAAGAAGATAGTCTACTCTCAGAGAGGTGGAGAACTCTCAATGCTTAGGATAGAAAAGGCCCTAATGAGCATAGGATGTAAGGAAAGGGGAAAGACTAACCACAGTGGAAAAATTGGGCAAACCCCGTGCCAGCCAGGACATCAATATCAACACCAATGAGAATTAGTCATGTTGACAGTGGGTACATTTGATGTCATGAGATGAACATGGCAGTTTCCCTCTCTGGTCTTCCAGTCCATCATCCACAGTCCTAGTCTACTCATGAACAAAAGAAGGCCAGTCCAAAAGAAGATTATTTTACGAAACTCCTGACCATTACTCCTCACAACTATGAATTGCTTCAAGAACAAAGGAAGCCTGAGAAAAAGTCACTGCGTGTGGAAGCTCAGCAGATATGACGATTAAATGCAACAGGTGTAAGAGAGAGGATGTGTTCATAACTTCAGAAACTGAGAGCAGAGCTTATGACCACCCTCTGAACTAACACAGCACGTTTTGTTTGTTTGTTTGTTTTGCAAAGGTACAACTGTTCAAAAATCAAGTTTATTAAAAATTAAAATTATTAATGACTAGCAAAATCTCTGGAAACATTGAGCTCTGATCATGTCCCCAGGCTCTGTTACTTGCTGTGTATAAAGCAGTATCACTGCTCTCACTTTCCATCAGTAAAATAAAATAATGATGCCACACACACACTTTTTGAAAATTTTCAATTAAACGATGACTGTAAGAGGTCTAGCAGAGTTTCTAGTAAACATTTAAGAATGAATAAAAAAATTCATCTGAGTTTCTGTATCCACGATTTCCACCCGCTCAGAGACCCATTCCTTACCTCCCATCTCGTACTCATGGTACTATTTCCATCACTCAGACTCTAAGCACAGCAGTAGAGTTTTCCTCACAATAACCTGGGTCACTTTTCCATCAAGAAGACCTGTTCATAGCTGTCCCTGACATAAAACCGGCACACACTCTTCACTAATTTCAGAATGAAACTTCAACCCTCTAGCCAAAACGTCAATTTCTTGGGTAATCTGTTGCCTACCCAACCAGGCTACTGTGGGTTCCTTTTGCAGAACCCGCAGACCCTGC